ACATAAATATATTTCACTGGAATTTAATGTGAAAGACCAACACAAAGTATACCACTTTGTGTTGGTCTTTCACATTAAATTCCAGTGAAATATATTTATGTTTGTGGTTGTAATGTAACAAAATATGGAAAAGTTCAAGGGGTATGAATACTTTTGCAAACCACTGTATTTTCAGAGTGTAGGTGGAGTATAATGCAAAATCGGCCTTTTGGAGCTTTATATCATGTTTAATGTCATTCCCTCGTTAAACACATACCCAGAGTGTTGCTTTGACACATCCTTGAATCTCCTGGGGTAGCCATTAGGAACATAATATGATGCAAAGTCAAATTTATTTTTGAAAAGAAATAATATTCCCCCCTTTAAAAAATGCAATAGAAGCCTGACATACAACATAAAAATATTTCATTGGGACCAGCAATGTTTTTATTTGTTCTGATCAAAAGTCTTATGCAGTTCAGTTTACCTAACAGAGTACAACAGAGGTCAAAGATCAGGTGACAGACCTTCTCAGGACTGTTGAGCAAAGCGTGAGGAATGTTTTTGAAAACCTTATCTCAGTTAGTGCTGTCCAAAGGAACACATTATCGTTGAGTCAGTCATTCTGGTGACGCTGCTGGCAGATGTAAATTTGCATGTTTGCTGTTTTCACAGATGTTGACAGAATGGAAATATTTAGTCACATTTGTCAAATGTTTGAATTTATTTAATTTGAAACTGTAGAAGTGAGCAAAAAGTGTTCTGAAACTTCAMCTGTGACATCGTTTCTGACTCTTTCTTTCTTTCTTCTTTTTTAATAGTTTTTCCTGCTGCAGGATCAAGAAAGAAATTATCCTACGAGGCACTGATACTTGGGCTACTGGCAGCTAAAATGCACTAGTAGAAAAAGCTCTGAAAGTAGAATGTAATTGTGTTAAACCACATCAATGCACTACGACAAAAACCCAGGGACATGTTCCTCTTGATGCACATGGTTTTCTTTAGAATATCAAGTAACAAACCATCCAGTATAATAACATCAAGGTCTGGTTGTGCATAGTGATTGTTTTACCGGGGTAGTTCTTAAAAGAAAATGAACGCTTAATGTGATTTTAGTTCTTGCTGATTAAACTGTGTTAAAAAAATGATTTTATTTTTTGTAACATTTGTTTCAAGAAATTTGACATTTGTTATGAATGTGCAAAAAGAAGTATTTTTTACATGTCATGTGATATTTGTCCTCGGAGAGTTATTTTGCCACTGTGAAGTCAATTTTCTTTTATATACAAGTATCACTTAACACCACAAGGTGGCAACAATCCAGTAAGAAAACAAGTTGCCACATGGACAGGTCACTTATTTTCTTATTTATCACAACTATTAGTAAAGTAAGAAAGCACTGTTCTGTTGTTTTTAAGTTTCTATGAGGATCTATGAATCATCTTCATCTCCACATGGAGGCCAACAATATCTAAAGCTTTAAAAGAAGCAGATTTTATGGCATTATTTATAAAATGGACTCTGAATCCACTCATTGAGATGTATTCCTGTATTTTTGATCTATTACTTGAATAAAAGTATTGTTACTACACTGTAAAAGAATATGTGTTTTATTAAGTAAAATTCATGATGTTTTGTGCATTTTAAATATTGCAAATATACCAGTAAAATATGTTAGAAAACAATATAATAACTCATGCGTCAAAATTAAAAACGAGTATGATGCAGTTGTTTGAGTTTTAATACACTTTGAAATATTTTGAGTGTAATTTTTATTCTTTTTAATTTTGCAACAGTTGCCACCAAAACTGAGCTAAATCAAAAAACAGATGCAAATTACAGCTTGTCTGTATAACATTTTGAGTGCACATTGACTAAAATTTCATGCTAAATTAATGTAAATGAGGTGATGTATAAATGCTTATGAAAGAAAAGCTTAGAGAGGTATTAAAGTACTGCATTTCTTCTTTAGAAGAGAGATGAAATCCAGGTTGTGTACTTATTTCTTAGTAACTGAGCAGATAAATAAAGAGGATTTACATTTATTACAAAATAATATTTACAGACGCACAAGCTGGACTAAAATCTTGCATAATAAATACAGCAAAACAATGATGAAAACATGTTCAGCTAAACGAAGCAAACGGATCAATAAATTAATAAAAGTCAATAAAGCTTCTATCAGGTTTTCTGGAGGAGGTCGACGTGAGCAAATACCAATGACAAACAGAGACTGAGACGGCGGATTCAAAAGGTAACTGATTTTATTTACATAGGTGCTGGGGTCTGGGGACGGGACCTGAAACAGAGGTTTTGCAGAGGTGAGAAATGGGAAGATCTTCCAGTATTGGTTTTTAGCAGATAAGTATTTCAAGAGTTTTCTTACAGGCTGGAGAAGGAGATGAGACTTGGAGGAGTGGGTCCAAAAGGTGAAGTTCCACAGGRGAGTATTTACAGGTGAATACTTATTTACAGTGTTTCYTGGGAGGCAGCGCATGAGATCCTGGTGAGTTGGCTCGGGTTCCAAGGCAGGAGGTAAACGTGCTGGAGGTCGCTTCTGAAAACAGGTAAGTAACAGGTACACAGGTACACAGGTACACAGGTACGATTAATTCTCATAAAGACAACAGGTAGCAGACTGCGCTCATACCAAACAGAGGCGATGCTTCAGCAATGAGATGAACTCCAGCACTGCTTTAAAAAGCCTGGAGGTGATGAGCCAAACTCCACGCAGGTGTGGGTGATTAGTGCAGTGCCCAATCCGGGAGGCAGGGGGCGAAAACACCAAAATGCCTCAGCTTCTGTGTCAAARCCAAGGTCCATGGGCCAAATGTGGCCCTCCATGGCATTTTATGTGGCAACAGCTTCAAAGATGTACTAATGTCTTAAAATAAGCATGCTGTTTTAAAGCCAGTATTCATTTTTTCACTTCACTGCATTTTGTTTTGCTGACTACTTTTATTGCGGCCCAGTTAACCTGGGAAGTGGGAATTTTCCACTAACAATTTTAAATTGTAATGCCTCCCTCCGGTGGGAATTCCCTGTCAGAAAGTGGGAGAGTTCAGAATTCAAGGCGGCAGCTTCTCACCACAACTCACTTTTACTTTTAATAGTATTTTTGTATAATTTATTTCYCATCARACATGAGGACYAYTTAAGTTGCTGTTTCTATGCAGGAAATACCATGMAGAGCTCAGTTATTGCMTGTTAACGGTGCTCASCTGTATCAATGAGACAAGGTTAATTATAACTGGCCCTTTAAGGGCCACCATAATCCTCATGTGGCCCTCAGGGAAAATTAGTTTGACATCTCTGGCATAACGAAGAGAACAGARGTTCCATAAACAATAAAGGATTCCCTGAAAAACATGTCAAACGTGTGAGAAAGCAGTACTTTTCCCTGCTAATCTGAGGTTCTGACCTCAGGAACAACATAAAGTATTCATGTTGGTGTGAGCSCTGTCTGACTAATTGATCTGCACATCGATCACAAACGAACCAGAGTCCACTGCAAGTTAGGACAAACAGATGTGTTTCAACTGGAAAACAAGTTTTCTCCATCAGTTTGCTGATCTGATTGTTTTGAACACAAGTATTAGACTTTTACACCTTAATGCCTGCGGAAAGATCAGGAAAATAAACCAGAAGACTTTGGACCTAAGAGCTGTTTTGGCTGCACTGGGAGTTAAATAACACAGTCAGCAGTCAGACAAATGTGTTTGTGGGATAAAGGGATAATTCAGATTTTTTGATATGGGATTTATAGGATTATGAACTATTAATATCTTACCAGTCGTTGATAGTGCTTTGAACCACCTCAGTTCAACAAAAAGTATTTTAATTCTCGAGCTAAAGGTGAGCCAGAACAGATCAAACAACTCCAGACTCTAAAAATGCATAGTTTAATTTTTTTAAGCAGGAGTTATTGTAAGATGGCAGGCATCCACATTCTTGACCTCCCCTCAAACTAGCTGTTATTTCATTAGTATCTGGTTAGAATTAAACTTTGATTCAGCAAACAGGTCATTTAAAGAGCTACCTACAATGGGTAATATATTAATTCATGACCTTTCTACAAAATCACACTTCAAAAGTTCTAAATATCCATTACATAAGRTTGTGCAAGATGACAACTGCATCATGTTTTTAAGAAAAATGACTCGATGAAATTTTCTGAACTGAACTGAATTCTGTGAATTGAAGATGATCAAAGCAGTAAACAGCTCACAAACRGGGTCAGTTCTTCAATTTGTTCTCCTGCTCTATCAATACTGCTGATTGATCCGGAGAAGAGCTGATATCTGCAGAGGTGTTTTCAGTTTCGTTTTGGACACAAACAAGTCTACGCCACTCTCTSCTTATAAAGGAGAACATTTTTATCATCTTTAATACGAGTTAGATTAACACATGATAAAGTACACCTTTCTTTGGTCTGGTTTTCTTACAACTTCCTCAGAAAGTGAGCAGAGCAGAGATCACACAGGCAAAAGTCAATAGGGGGCGCCCTGGGCAGACCCTCAGAGTATATAAAAGAGGGTTTTTACAGGTAGCTGTTCACTGAGAGCCACAAGCTGGAGGCTGGAGTGTTGTCTCCTGGAGAGGTGAGAAAACATTTAGGACTGGTTTGGGTATGTTATACAATTGCAGTTTGCTTTAAAAGGAGAAGCAATGGTGACACATTTTCTTCTTGGATTAAACCAAATGACAAAGAATCAGGATTTCATTAGTGTTGTGTTCTGACTGAGACCTTGCCTGCTTGTACAGATGGAGCAAGCACAATGCTTGGCTTTGTCAGACAACTTGTTTGGGATGTGCCGTGGTAATTACAGGGAACTGTTTCGGTTGGATGGACTTGAGAGGACATTTAGGTGTTTGTGTAGGAAAAACAAAGAAAAGAAAAAAAAAACAAATCCCATTTTCTGTCTGGGTCCAGTTTGGGCTGGTTTGCTCAAGAGCAGGAGCTCTGAGGTGTCAGGGTGGATACTTGTTCAGTTCTTATTAAGGACAATGTGATGTACTGGCCATGTTCCAGCAGTGGAATGATGTAATAATCTTTGTACGGTATTTTTGTCAGAATCATTTAATTCATTGCTGATACTGTTTGTAACAAAAGAAAGGCTTTTTATTGAATCAAAAATGTGTTTGATTGATCACAACAAACTGCAGCTACGTTATTATTCAGACTTCACTTTAAACTATTAAAGCACCTTCACTTAGGGCAAACACTTTATCTTGTCATCTCATAAAAGCCAAGCCTTCCTGTCCATTTCTGATTTCAGATAGGCTAACTGTAAAACCTCCGCCCCCTCCCTCCTGTACTTCTCTTTTCACAGATAAGTGATCTGTCTCTTTTCTTGCCGAGCGTCGGTCAGGGAGGCTCTTCCAGCTTGCTCTGCTCTCCCAACTCCTCTCCTCTTCTCCTGCTCTTTGCTTCACCCTTTCTGTAACTTCACCCCTCCATCATGGCGCCAACCCTCGCCACGGCCTTCGCCAGGCGCTGGTGGATGGCAGTGACTGCCATCATCGAGAACCTGCTCTTCTCTGCTGTGCTGCTGGGATGGGGGTCTCTCCTCATCATGCTGAAGTCTGAGGGGTTCTACTCTTACCTGTGCACCGACGAAGGTGAGTCAAAACTGAACTGTGAGGCTTGGTTTGTTCTTTATGTTTTGTTCAGAAAAAAATAAAAGGCATGTCTTCATGAAACTGAGGTTTTAAGGTGTAGAGTCTGGTCTTTCAGAATAACTTTAAGGTGAAAGAGTTCTTTCACTGTGATTGCACTCTATTTGTTTAAGGAGATGTAAATCAACACTACTGTCTTCCTGTCTCCTTTTAAAAGTAAAGTGTTTTTTTTTTCTGTGAAGAAGTCAAAGCCTCTTTGGGGCGACTCCAGAGATAAACCTGATCGGTTCAATGCAAATTAATAATAGCTAGGCAAAGACATCCAGAGTTAAAAAAATAAAAGCATCGTGTAGCTCAGAACAGGTCGTCCCATTCAACACCACTTTGTTTACAGTGTCTTAAAACAATGAAGAGAATTTACTGAAAGAGACCTGATAAAGCAGTGATTTAAATATGACTTTTAGATTTCTCTCTCCTAAATGATCTTCTCCCAAACATTTGTTTTTTTTTTCTCATTATTTGAATTCTCAAACACTAAAGAGTGCCTCTTTGATGGGATTAAATCCTGACATGACCAACGCCYGATTATTGTCTGGGTTACCGCTTTCAGCTTTAATTTTCACCCGCTGCCAAAAGACAAAGTTAGACAATGTTTTTGTCTTTACATGTTTGTGTGTTTGTTACCAAAATAAATCATGAACCACTGAAAAAATATTGATAAAATTTGCAGAAAGAACCCCCTTGTTGCACATCTCCTTTTGAATGACTGAATTTAAGAAAACTACCACAAATTAAACTTACAAAAAAACGACTTTAACTCAGTCAACTTTGCAGACAAACAGGTAAAATTAGCTGAGGTAGTAGCCGAGTCTAATTAACAACACATAAGTGTGACATCATCACCATGCGTTATTGTGTGAGATCATGAATGTTATTTTCAAGGGGGTATACCAAAATTGTCTCTGTAGGTTTTCAACATAAAACGATCTTAATCTAAAATTTATCTCCAAAAAAAAAATAGTGGGTGAGATGCGTTTCTACTTCAAACCCACATAAAAAACATAATAATAATAAAATTAAAAAAATCCATGCAATGCACTGAAAATAAATCAGCTGTTATGTTATTATAATTCCATCACTAAAGCAACAGCTGAACATTCAACAACGCACATGGTTTCCTGGAAACTAAGAAGTGCCGAGTAATTTTTTTTTTCAAAATCTGATGACGTAAAATTTTTTTAAAAATGATCAGCTCAGCTCTTTTTCAGCTTGTGACATTTGCGTGAGGAACAGAAAGATCCACATCAGCATTTTATTGCTGGTATTATTGAAGTTCAAAGTTTACAGATAATGGTCTGGGGAGGGAGGACTGATAGTAAAGTGATGAGCTGCAGAATTTAGATCACCTGAGCAGACAGTGAGTAAAAAAAAAAGGTAGATAGAACATTAGKAGTGTGGAGCAGATTAGGTGGTTTTCTGCGTAAACAGGGTTACCACGAGTCATGTGGGAGGAAGCTGTGGTCTWGTGTGAGTTTCTAGCTTTGGGTGGCTGATCCACAGCAACATAACAACCACTTGAGACACAATGAGTGGTTTACCTCTTTACACGAGCTGGATTTTATGACTTTGTTTTTCAGGGTTTTTTTTTTTTTTTTTGCAAATTTATTTACAGATTACACAGAAAGCTACAGCATAATTTGTACAAGAAAAAACTGTAGTTGCTGCTCTTTATCCTCCATCACTCAGACTTTTCTTGCACTTTTGGACTTCTCCACACTATAACCCAGCAGGTTCTGATAACGCTAATTACGCTATTAACTAATCCAGTTCTTATCCCGGACATTTAAGTGTTAATAAAATCTAAACAAGTTTTCAGTGTCTGAGTGGGAATTGAACTTGTTTGCTCGCTTACTTTTTTGCTTCCTGTCGCTGCAGATTWTATGCTGACATGTTTACATTCCTAGGCGGCGGTTTACCAAACACTTACCTCTGTGTAGTCATGGCTCATGTGACCATTGTGACCACTGTGTYCTGGTCTGTCACAATCTGGTAAATTTAAAAGAAGCGCAACATCCAAATTTCAGCTCACATCTCAATGCTAAATGCTTGTCAGTTTTGCTCTGTTTTTCATGCCAGTTTAACACTAAAACATTTTCATAATGAGAAACGAAAAAGTTGTATCCATTTTGGCCAAAAGCTAAAGGGGACATGTCATGCAAAATCCACTTTTTTTTTGCCAGTAAATGTATTTTGTTGTGTACTTGGAGTCTCTCGGAGTGCAGTTGTGACATACTTTAAATTATTATGTCAAATTATTTGCAAGAGAATGGAAATGATCTGGACTTACCAACTACAGTTTATTGTCTTCATTCTCCTCTGGCTCTGGGTCAGACTCTGGCTCCAACATGCACTGTAAAAAACTGTTGGATTTACTAACCATGTTATGTTACCTGGTTCCACTTAACTGAGTGGAGTAAATTCATAGCAATACACCAGTTTTTTTAACCAAAGAGCATGAGTATGTAACACATTCTCACTCCCGACTCGTCAACATATTGACGTTTTTCCAAGGTTCCCTCCACGTCTTATTTTGACACGTCGGGTAACCCCCTTGTGTCAGTCCTTGCCGCCGGGTTGCGCCACCAGGGGTCTTTGGGTCAGGGGTCTGAGGTTAATATGAGGGATCAGGATTAATGGTTAATTTTAGATACTGGGGTCAGGGATAGGAAGTCTACAGCGAATATAAGGTAATTTTAGGCTTTGGAACACATAGTTGACGTGAATTTCCTACATTTTCTAAAAATGGTTAATTTTAGATACTGGGGTCAGGGATAGG